CAGCAATTTTTGAGAAGTTCAGGGCACTCGTTTCACCCCAGTGTGAAAACCCCTGACCCCACAGACCCTCACAGACCACAGCACTAAAATCAGTGCGATTTCAGTGAAGTTATTTCGCTCTGCAGAGGTGGAGGTGGAGCAGGGAGGACTGGGCAAGGTGTGAACACTGTGCAAGGTTTGGTTCCCCTCAGAAATGCATTGGTCACATCCTTTAGARGCTGAGCCCGGAGATTTTGGGGTCTAAAGGAGAAAGCTTGAAGGCTTGGTCTCCCTTCACTGAGGACATGGGAGAATCGACCCCCAAATATCATAAATCAACCCCTAAATAGCCTAAATCAACACCAAAATACTCTAAATCAACCCCCAAATACACTGAGGACACAACCCTAAATCAACCCCCAAAATACACTGAGGACACAGCTGAATCAACCCCTAAATACCCTAAATCAACCCCTAAATACCCTAAATCAACCCCTAAATACCCTAAATCAACCCTGAAATACCCTAAATCAATCCCCAAACACACTGAAAGTACAGCAGAACCAACTCCTAAACACACCACAAGCACAGGGGAACCAATTCTCAAGTCCAAGATGCAGAATCTGCTCAGAAAACCACAAAACCTTGGAGTTTTCATCCCAAACCTGGAGCACAAACCCCGAACACAGCCCCAGTACCAGATTCACCCCTTCCCAGGAGCTCTCACCTTCCCGAAATCCCGCACATCAAACAGGTCAAAGGGATCGAAGAGGTCGCTGTTCCTTAACCCGAATTTGTCGTGGCACACTTTGAGGAAAGTCCGGATGTTCTTCAAACACAGAAACTGCGGGAGRCAAAAGAGAAAGGGAGGGGAAAGGTGAGTGGGACAGGCACAAAYTGAGATTTACTGAGTTAAATTCGAGTTAGCAGGGACTCAGAAACTCCCACTGGCAGGGGTTTGTTTGTTGTTTCTGAGGATTTCAGGCTACGCCAGAAAAACAACACCCCTTCAAAAAACAAGTTTGTCCCAAGGTAACGTCGCAGAAATGCTGCAAAACCCAAGCCAGGATGTTTCCCTTTCAAGGTTGAAGGCAAATATAAATTCCAGCTGATTTTCCACAGAAGCCCAGGGTTGAACTTGGAACCATTTTCAGCATGATCCTATTTGGTTCCTTACGGAAGGGGCACACAGGAAAAGGGGGAATGGCTTTAAATTGACACAGAGCRGGRWTAGRTGGGATTTTGGGAAGGAATTMTTCTCTGTGAGGGTGGTGAAGCTGTGGCTGCCYCTGGATCCCTGGAAATGTCCAAGGCCAGGYTGRATGGGGTTTGGAGCACCCAGGGACAGTGGAAGTTGTCCCATAGCAGGGGGTGGGATGGGATGATCTGCAATATCCCAAAACAAACCCTCGATTACCCAGCCAGGTTGACCAGCAGAGCAATGCTGAGTTTCTCTTTTAAAAACCCTGGTTTTGGCTGTAGCAATAACTGGAAGTTTATCCACAATCACCAGGGATTCTGCAGCCTGGGGTCTCACTGCAGCACAGGGGGCTAAAGGGGAGAAAAATAAAAACCTGCTCCRTTTTTGCCGCTGCATCTCCTCCATCCTTCATCTGCTGAGCCAATTAACTCCCCTTCCTCCTGCAAAACACCTCCAATTTATCCCCATGTCTTTAGGCAACTTTCCATTTTCTCGGTGAATTCCTCACAGAAACATGACAAAAAAAAAAGTGGGATCTTGAGGAAATCAATGATTAAAGGGGCCAATCACCCCCATGTGATCCTCAGGCACAGGAGTGGGTTCTCCCAGCCTGATTTTGTCACAAAAAATCAATGTGACAAAATTCTGGTTTTGTCACATTGAACACACCCCACGTGAAAACATCGCCCGCAAACTTCACCCGGGGTTCAAAGCAAAAGAAAATAGCTTAATTTTCTCTTAATTAAAAGAATCAAAGCAGAGTCTTCGGGGCTGTGGTATCTCGGCGCAGCTCGTTAGGGCTGCTTTGGGGATTAAACACGAGGTTTCCAGCCACGGATTAGCAAAACCACCTCATTAACAGCGGGCTGGTTCGCCCACCAGGCAAGGAATGACCTTCTCCCCTTCTTTYCCCATGCCATGGGGGTGGCAGAGTTCCCCCAGCACAGGGGTGGCACAGGACAATGCCAYGGCATCATCTCATTAGGGCAAGCACGTGCCAAGAGGCAGAAATTGAAAACAAATCCACTTTTCTAGGGCATTCCTCTGTCTCACATAAACACTGCAGTAAATGTAAGTGTCTAGACTGTGAGGGGGTTTTTTTGGTGTGTTTTTTTGTTGGGTTTTTTTAGGGTTTTTTTTTGTTTTTTGGGGTTTTCTTTTTTTTTTTGAATTGCTTTACAACCTCTCTTGCTGACACGGGTTATTTCGTAACTTTATCTTCTTGGTCTCTGCAAGAATTTACACCCCGGGCTGTGCTGCTGCACTGCAGGTCCCATCGATTCCAAAGTCCCAGCATGTGCTTATTTTTAAATCCTTTTAAGCCTCCAATTTTGGAAGTTAATGACACAGGTTACAGCYGCAATTACGCACAGCACGATGCAAAACTCCCTCTGCAGCATTTCCTGCCCATCCCAGGCTGGCCAGAACTAAATCAGAGATTCAGAATCCCAGAAGGGTTTGGGTTGGAAGGGATATTTGGGATTGTCCATGGGCAGGGACACTGTCCAGTGTCCCA